AAATTTCTTGTGTTTAAATGAGGAAACTTGTTCTAGAAAGGTTAATATTATAAATTCACCAATAGTTATTTTTTCTCTTGAGTGAATATATCTTCCTTTGAAAGTGTTTGTTTGGGTTCAAAGATAAATTCATTAAAAGCTTTGTTTGGGGGATTTAATATTAAGTCATCGTTTGGTTCGTGAGTTGAGTTACTTAAGGAAAAACTCTCATTTCAAGTTCTTGAAGATAGTTACTGAAGAATCTTCTCATCAGTTCTTAAGCACAGTCCGGTTAAAAGCTCAGTTGGTATGAGCTCAGCATGGTGTAAAATCTAGGTTCAGTTTGTGGTCAGCATGTGTAAAACTCTAGTTTGGTTCGGTGGATAGCTAGTTCAAAACTCCACATTGGTTTGAGATAAGTTCGTATAAAACTTCGATTTAGCTTCGGAACTAGCCGCTTAAAGCTCTATTCGTATTTGTAAGAAAGACTAACTGCTTATGTCCATTGTTTGCTGTTTGATTGGAAGTTAATCTAAAACTTCATTTATCCTTGTATAAGGGGGTTCGTGAGCTTAACCTTCTCAAATATCGTAAGCATTAGTCAATGATCTCAAGATAAATTCTTCGGGAGAGGATCGGGTCACTTTATTTAGACCAAACCCCTATAAATCTCGGTGTCATCTATTTTTCCCTTATCTTTTACTTTCTGCATATTTTCTCTACTTTGATTTTCCGCTGCACTATTCAAAAAAAATTTGAAATGATTTTGAACTCTAATTTAAAAAATAATTATATTTTAAATTGTCGATTTTTAAATCCCCTCAATTTATCTCCCTCTTGTGTGTGAAGTCATGTGTTCAACAATAAGTGTTGCCGATATTTTCTCGGATTAGCTCCCAAATAAGTAACCATCATGTCTAGTGCCTCAGGCTTCTTGGCTCTAGAATAGTTTAATACTTTTCCCTAAATTGGAAGATATATGAGGCATGAGACATCATCAAGTGTGATGGACATCTCACTGATCAAAAGATCAAATGATGATGTCTTTGCGTGTCATCCCTCCACTAAAGCATACAATAAGCCATGATTAATATAACCATATATATATATATATATATATATATATATATATATATATATATATATATATATATATATATATATATATATATATATATATATATATATATATATATATATATATATATATATATATATATTCCTGCATAAATCATATAACTCAGATAGTTGTATGAGATCCTAAAACTAAACTACCATTCTACTGCGACTAATACATTTTAATATATCATAGTACTACAAAAAATAAATACATTGTCAAACAATTCAAATATTATAACACAAATGTTTAAAAGATTAATTAAAATATTTATGTTACATCTATGTCGCACACGTGCCTAATAACATGGTATGGATAGAAAGGAAGCAATGAAAGGTACGATGGACCTCCTGCGAAGCCCTTTGTGGCAGTAGGAGGTTATGGGAAAGTGGTGCTTCTAGAGCAGCAGCAGACACGTGAGACCGGGAAGACGATGTCAGAGACACATGAACCCGTGAAGACGGTCTCTCACCAACAAACAAAAAAAAATCTTTCTAACTATAGATCATGAGGGTCTAGCTTTCTCCTTGCAAAATAAAGCGTGTTTGGACACTCTACCATGTCTCAATATTTTTTGGTTGTCAATAATTTTTATGAAATCAAACAAGTATAGTATAGAGATGTCATAACATAAAAACATAAACAAACCAAGCTAAATAAAAAATCAGATAGCATGCTATTCCGAATTCTAATCTTCAAACTAACTGTTCATATTATACAATTCAGACTACAATAAGACGGAAGTACGAACTAGAGAACATAACATGTGAACCCTAAGCTCTAGTGCTAAAAAACTTAATGCAAGACAATTCAGGACAAACACAGATGACATATCTATTACATTTAAGTCTAAAGTATCATACCTATAAACTATTTAGGTATGACATGCATGTTAAAATCAAAAAGAAAAGAGAATGAGCGAGCAAATTACAAATGCAATGGAGAAGAACTTCAGATACGTGCAATGTAGTGGAGTAGAGTTGTGATGAGTTTCAATACAATGAATAGAAGTTCTAAGAAGACTTGAAAATGATATGACAAGTTATGTAAACGCAAATGAGGATCTACCTCTTCGTTTTCTTATTTTATTTTTGCAAAAATGAGATTACACATGAGTGTCTCAAGTTTAATCTTTATAAGTTACTGTATGGATTCTAAAGTCCTTAAGTTTCTTAAATTTTATCTTTGTTGTGTTTTAAAGATGGTTTATTGTATATTAAGTGTGTCAAGATTTTAAAATTCATATTTAAAGATTATTTTTTAAATTCCATTAAAGTGTGGAATAACTTACCAGGTGTATTGAACAAGCTCATTCTTGATAAAACTTTGCAATTTGGCCAACAATTGAAAAAAATATTTGACATAGACGATAACTATTTTAAATTCGAAAATTTTTTTACTCCACCTTTATACTTTTTCACAAACCCTTAGTGAAAACTCAAAAATACCTCAATTTTTCGAGATGCATTTCCGAACGCACCTATTTTCCATAAAACTGAACGCAAACGAGTGAATCACACCTATTATACTTAATTTCGGATACACCATACTTTTTTACAGAAAAAAGGTATTTTCGGATATATATATATATATATATATATATATATATATATATATATATATATATATATATATATATATATATATATATATATATATATATATATATATATATATATATATATATATATATATATATATATATATATATATATATATATATATATATATATATATATATATATATATATATATATATATATATATATATATATATATATATATATATATATATATCTGTGTGTGTGTATGCGCGCGCGCGTGCGCGTGCGCGTGCGTGTGCGTGTGCGTGTGTGTGTGTCCGAATAGGTAGACTTAATAGTCGTGCATCAACAATGCAACAAATATCTAAATACCAACTATGTTCTTATTGAGAAAAACAATGTGTGTGTGTGTGTGAAATATTTTATTGTATTTTTTTTTAATTTAGTATGGGGTGTATCCGAATAGGTAGACTTAATAGTCGTGCATCAACAATGCAACAAATATCTAAATACCAACTATGTTCTTATTGAGAAAAACAATGTGTGTGTGTGTGGAATATTTTATTGTATTTTTTTTTTTAATTTAGTATGGGGTGTATCCGAATAGGTAGACTTAATAGTCGTGCATCAACAATGCAACAAATATCTAAATACCAACTATGTTCTTATTGAGAAAAGCAATTGAAAAATAAAAAAATAATTAAAATAAAATTATAAAAATATGGAATTATCACTAAAAATCAAATAAAATTAAATCAAGAGTCTATAAAATTTTTTCGTTTTTTTTTTTAAAATATGAAAACAGAAAATAAATCAAATAAAATAGAAAACGGTAAATTTTGATTCAAAGTCAATTTTTTAAAAAATAGAGTTTTTTACGCTAAGTCGTGCAAAATCCGAGGATACGATTCCTATGATTCTAATATTGGTTAAAACCGATAGATTCCCAAAAGGCAGCAATTTTAATGAAAAACATGTAGCAAATGAGGTTAGAGAATGAGGTTAGAGATTTTTTCAGAGATACATCTCCGAATTCATCTTAAAAAATTCCGGTGATGCATCTGTGAATCAATTTTTGACAAAAACAAGAACACTACTTGATTTACGAAGAATGAGATAATTTAAGGCGTATCTAAAGATGCTTCTCCAAAAATTTCAAAAGACATTTTTAAATTTCCAGAGGTATCAACCACACCATAAGGGTGGAAAAAAATGACCTTAAAATATTAATAGAATTAATGTTGTGAGTGAGAAAGATTAACACATAGACCATAATAAACTCGGACACCAACTTAATTAAACAAAACTCAAACCAAATATCATTTAAAAGAATCAAACTCTTTACCACTTAAACCATAAGTCTGTTGATTCCAATTAACCACCCCTTTTCCTTTGCTTACACAACAAAGCAGAACAAATTTTTATATTTGCAATGTTTCTCTAACTACATCAACCTTACTTTGAATCATAGTCATTCAAATGAAAAGTTTTCATATTTACATCCAAGTAAAAAAATCACAAAGACACTCGGGGCAAAACATTTAGAAGCACTCATGTCATAAATTCGCAGCATCTACAAACACGAAAAGAACAAGTCACTGGTTGTTCTTCTGAGGAACTGAATCAGCAATGGCAACAAGCTTCTTCTCAAGCTCTGGCTTGTTGGCTCCTACAAGTTTGTCGAGCTGTTGTCCATCTTTAAGAAAGAAGAAAGTTGGTGTCGCTTTTATGTCCCACGAAGTGCTGAAATCCTGTAACGAACACAACCATGTTCAATCAAATGTGACATGATTGTAAGAAATAAGGTTGACACTACTTACAGTTAGCTCATCGACGTCAACTAATAAGAACATCATAGATGTGTATTTCTCAGACATCTCGCAGTAATATGGCGCAATCACCTTGCAAGGACCGCACCATACTGCGCTGAAATTCGCAATCACCTGTGGAACATGAAGCTTTAGTATTAGGCAGAGTAGAGTCATGTGAAAGAAAAGAGGCACATAGGCAGCCGGTTTTATTGTCCCGCAAAATATTAAAAGGTAAAAGTGAAACTTACGATTTTGCCGTCCTTCTTTGCTTCTTCCAGCTTCTGGTCCCAGGATTCTTTGGTGGTAATAAGTGCTACGTTGCCAGCAGCAAACTCCACATGTTGATCGGAATCATTATCCTTATCCTGATTCTACAAGCGTTAAAAACACGACACTTTTGTTTCATAAGATTTATCAATAAATGATGAAGATTAATGGATTATAAAGCAAACATTAAGTGCTACAATACACCGAAACACGTTATCCGTTGTTCCATGTTTTTCCTTTCAGAAGCCTGAAAGAAGCACAAACTTCTAGTTGCAGATTAAGTATTGCCGCATCAAACTGAATTAATGGGGTTTTCATAGGTCAAAATTCAAAATCACTGCAAAAAAACTCTCATTTCTTGTTCTTACATAGTTTCCATTTGTTCGGCATTCTGTTATATCTGTTTCTCTAATCATTCTTTTACCATCACCGTTTAATTTATCTGCTACCGGCTGCTTACGATTCAGTTCACATAAGCACACTGAAGACGTAAAAGGTAATCTCTGGATGCGGCTCGCAAATAAGTGACTTTTGGCCACAAATAGAACATATAGAGTAAAAGACTATCAATTCAAACTTCAAAGTTACGACATCAGTTCTTCCTTATCCGTTGATTCCACGAAAGGAAAAAAACATGCTAGTCGCTATAGAGTGTGCTTATCTTATCAGTACAATTTTCGGAGAGAACAGGAGAAAGCCCTTAGACTTTCAACTTTTAGTTATCATAATAGTGTAAGTTTTATGTATCAAATATTCTCACCTTAGCCAAGCAATTCCCCATATGATTGTTTGAAAGCCGCTAACTCGTAAACTTTAACGAAAAGAACCCTCAGAAACAGCAGAACAAATTCCCTGATATCCACCAAAACAAAAGAGAAATTGGCAAAAACAACAGCCAAATCAGAGATTGATGGACCAATACACATGTACATCATGTAACAATAAATTAGCGCATTTCGAGTCGATATAAACAGCAGAAGAAGAAGAAAAAAAATGCACTCAAATAAATGTTCACTTAACCAAATATCAGAAAATATTTCCTTATAAACATTCTAGGACTTTTTCACTATGAAGCACAGACACCTTGTCCGGACACAAAACCGACATTGACACGGTAATGATTTGAAAAAAAATGAATAAATTATACGTAGTCACAAGTGTCGGTGTCAGACGGACACCTCTTTTTTCAGAGGTGCCAATGCTCTTATACAAGAACCCTATATGAAACAATTATTTTACTAGACTTTACTTAACTCTTAAGAATTTCAGATTACCAGAGTCCTAAAGACCTAAAAAGAAAATCCTACAAAGAATGCCTTAAGAAAAAACATAAACACAAACAACTGAATTTGTGACAAGAAAATTGCTTTGGTTGATCAGAAACAAGAAAGGAAAGAGTAGGGTTCATTGATTAGAAACAAAAGCAACAAATCAATAATCTATGAAATCAGCTAATTTACAATACTAACATGATTTCAACATCTGAAATCAAAGTTCCAAACTTTCCATCAACATAATTGCAACAAAATTAAACAAATCATTGAAGGAAGAGAAGGATGAAAAACATACCAATTGAAGCGATTAAGGAAAGTGAAATTAGACACACAGAGACAGTGAACCTCGTAATTGAAGAAGATAAAGGAGCTATTGAGGTTTTCGTGAATAACAACAATTGTGCCAAAACACAACAATAATTAAATTTTTTACTGAAAAATAGGTTCTTGCAACATAAGGTATTGTGGTTAATGAAGTTTTGGTTTTCTTGTTTGTCGGGGTATCTTATCCTGTACTGTATGGTATATATACACATAGTAGTAGAGTACTAACTCCTCAACAATGGTAAAGATTGAGTCAAAAGTAAATAGAATAACAACTATGGTAAAATAAAAAAAACAAGTTCTTGTCAAAAAGATTGAATAAATAAAATGGGTCAAATTTAGTAAATAATAATAAGAAATGATTGTTTTAAATAAAAATCAAACAAATAAATAATAGTCATTTATAAATATAAAATATTCTTTATATGTTAGTAAAACATTTTTATAAAAGAAAAACGAATTTTTTTCCCTAGAAGTTTCAAGGGAAGCATGGTTTGGTCAATTAATTTGGTTGATGGAGGTGTTGGGAAAGTGCTCACACGCCACTTGTGAATGCCCTCTCACTCATGAGTTGCCAACTAAGAAAAGTAAATAACCAATCGATGAGAAACTTGAGAGAATGAGAAGCTAGAATTTAGCAACTTAAGTGAGTGGTGTAATTTCTCCTATAAATATAAAAAATTTGTGTGTGTATATATATATATATATATATATATATATATATATATATATATATATATATATATATATATATATATATATATATATATATATATATATATATATATATATATATATATATATATATATATATATATATATATATATATATATATATATATATATATATATATATATATATATATATATATATATATATATATATATATATTGATCTGACCTGATCAGAAGGGGATCACGGGCTGGCCACACGCTGTTGGACTGCTACCTGTTCACCGGTGATGAGGAGGAAAAAAGGAAGGTGTACCTGCAAGACACTCTGATGCCAAAGTAAGGAATTGGGCAGAGTGAGAGCAAAGTACAGAAATGGGGTAAGAAGTGAATTATCTGACCCTCTTGAGGAAGAGGGTATTTATAGAGAGACCTCAGCGCTGGGTCAACGGTTACTTGTGTTGGGCAGGATGGTCAGGCCCAACCCAGGTGACTGCTAGGGCTTACGTGGCGTAGTGAAGACCAGGACGTGGTCTTCGCCCTAGTCCAACTGTCCTGTGGTCTCCAGAAAGTGGGTTTGACCTGCTCTTTCGGAGGTGGGCAGTTGGGGATGGCGTGTCCCCGCGGAGGGGAGCACGTGGAGAACGTGCGCATGGCACGTTGTTCTCCCCGCGGAGGGGAGCTCGCGGGGTCCCCCGATAGCACGTTGTTCTCCCCGCTGAGGAGAGCACCCGAGGGCGGGGGAGACATATCATCCTGCTCGTTGGTATGGGGATTCTGCCCGTGCAGGGCTGCTCTGCCCGACTAGGGAAGAGCGCCAAGGGCATTTGGAAGCACACCGTCCTGTTCGGCGGGAGCATGCCCTGCCCGTCGAGGGGGTCGCGTGTCCGGCCAGCCTACTCAAATCATATTGGGCCTTGGTTGTGCATTATTGGGCTGGGCCGCGAGGTGAGACTTGGCCCAGGCCAGAACAGGAGCCCCCCAAGTCGAAGCTCTTCGGCGGGAGAGTGAGAACTTGAGATCGTTGTTTCGGGGAAGGAGATAGCGAGGTGTGCGGCCCGCAGGCTTGTGTTCGGTGAAGCGCGCGTGCGCGAGGGTCTCTTCATGTAGCCGGGTGCGCGGGGCAGAGGCATTTGAAAGGGTGCGACTGTCAGCCTACCGCCACGTGTCACGCATCGAGTGGGTGTGAGGGCGGCTACCCTAGGGTACTCAAAGGCCTAGTGCCGCTTCGAGTTCCGCATCAGGTTATAAATATGGGGGTCCCCGTGCACTTTTTACTTTTCACATTGCTTTCTCACCTGCGAAGCTCTGTAATTCCTCTCCGTCCGCCGTTGCTGAGAATCGCCGCCGCGCCGTTAGTTTCGCATCTCGTCTCTCGTCATCTATAAAGTGAGTTTTCTTCTTCTCTTCTTTTATTTCTGTCGTTTAATTTGGGTTGGTGGTCGGGGCATGATGAAGGCCCCGAGGAGAGATGTGAGTTTCCTCCGTATCTGGTGGATTTTGGGTTGTTTAGATGAATGCCCCGGGGAGGATTGGTTGCTCCGATGAATACTCTGGGGATGGGTGCTCCCTCCGATGAAGCCCCCGGGGAGTGGCGATAGGTCAGCTTTAAACGCCCTGAGAAAAAGTGGCGAGGAGTGCCCCTCGGGGCCTTCCCGGGCGTTCGTCTTTTGTTCGCGTGCCCGTCGTCGTCGCCCTTTCACTTGACCTGCGGTGGAAGGGTGGATTTGATCTTGGCTATCGAATTCACCGTTATCCTCTGCTTTTCAGGTGTACATGTCGGCCTTGATACCGGGGACGATGGTCGAAGACAACGAGCCCGAGATCCCAGATTTTGACGAGCAGGTTCTCCCCGTCGAGGAGTGGGTGGCCGAAGCGCCTATATCCACCCCTTCTTGCTTCGCGCTTGATGTGTCTGGTGCCTATGCCACTGTGGAGGACCGGGAGGAGGGGGATCCGCAGGATTGGCAGGTGTACCGTCCCAAAGAACATCATCGCATCTCCCTATGCACGAGTTCTATTTTAAAGAGGCCCAGCTCAGACTGCCCTTCTCCGATTTTCACTTGGGCCTTTTCGATTGGCTGCATCTGGCTCCATCCCAGCTGCATCCCAAAGCGCTGGCTTTTATCCGTGTGTTCGAGCTGGTGTGCAGCTTTCTCCAGGTCGAAGCCACGGTGCCTTTATTTTTCCGCATTTTTCATCTGCAACGGCAGGCGGTGAACGGCCGGTAGGGTTGGGTCTCGTTCAAACAACTGACCACGCTCTTTAAGACGTATAGCGACTCTGTCCGGGACTTCAAGAGCCGATTCTTCCTCGTGAGGCCGATCACACGGGAAGGGTCGGACTCCCTTTTTGCCGAGGGCGAGCGAGTGGTGGACGGCCAGCGGTTTGTCGCGTGGCTCCCGAAGGTACATTTGTTGTGGACCCCGGAGCATTTTAACCGGGGGACCAACCGTTACATAGTGCGGGCTGGGACCCTTGATGCGGGGGACATGGCCGCCTGCATGAAAATAGTGGGGTTTGTGCAGGGTCTGCCGCCGTCGAGACTTGTGACGCCTGATGGTCGGTATATTCTCGACGCCGAGGGGAATGTGCGGACGAAGAAAAGGTTGATCAATACGAAAACCCTGCTCAGGTGTGCCTCGGAGGCGGACGCTCTTTCTTACCTAGGTGGGGTTGCTCCCCTTTCTGGTGACTCTTTCGTTTTGTCTATCACTGACTTCTTTCTTATGTTTTTTTTTGCTGCGAACATGTCTTCCGTCGAAGAGCGGGTGAAGAAGTTGCGCGCCTCGAGGGTGGTCGGGGTCCCGAAGACGCGGGTGAGCCAATTGGTCGGGCAGGAAGTTGTGGTCCAGGGTGGTCAGAGTTCGTCTTCGTCTCCCCAGGAGAGTCAGTCTCCTTCGTCTCAGGGAACTGCGAAGAGGCCAAGAACCGAGGAGCCCAGTGGCCTGATTGATCTGACGACTGGTTCATCCGAGGAGGGTTACATCGTCCCGCCGTGCCACCAACACCCGGGTTATTTTCACGGGGCCCGGTCTCCCACTATCTCTGCCGGTGAAGTGAAGGTTGTCCAGGATGCCGATCGAGAGTCCCGTCATCGCATCTTGGCGGAGGATTTGGGTGCGATGATACGGACCTTTACCCCTGAGTGAGGAGGGCTGCTCTGCCTTCGAGTTGACCAAGTTGTGGGGAGATCTCACCTTCATGCAGTCGCGCCTGGCCAAACTCACCGAGGAGCTGGAGAAGAGTCAGAAGGACGCTGCTGACCAGCGCAAGCGGGCGGAAGGTGTCGAGGGGAAGGCGACGTCGGTCAAGGAGAAATTGGGGGCGACGGAGGGCGAGGTGCAAGCGCTGACGGTTCGCCTGGAGGTTCTGGATAGCGCCCTCCGTCCGGCCGAGGATGAGACTGAGGAAGACATGCGGATGATTACACGTGCTGATTTGATATCCCAGATTCGGGTGCTGGAGAGCGATTGCCTGGACGCTGTCGAGGTCGGGTTCAAGAGTGTTG